TTTCTTCAGATTCACCTGTGCTGTCTGGTCTTCTGTCGGGCCAAAGCTGGCACACTATCAGACAGCAGTAACATAAATTGCAATAGTGGTGATATGTGAGGATACAACAGGGCCAGGTCGGCCACAAACCTGACTCTTACTTGGGCCTTCTGCTTGTTTTCCATGGAAATGTCATGACACAGAACATGGGAATTTTCCAAAGTAAGAGTTTAACATTCTTCTTCCATGGAATCCTGCAGATGCTGTGCCACCTACCTGCAGTACGTTTAAATAACATTTTCAGTAACAAACGACTTCAGCGGATGTTTCTAATTCACGGATAATAGGCACTTTCTTTTACTGAACTCATAAACCTTTCCTTGAAATTTTGGAAACAATATTACAATTAAGAAAATTGCATTGCACTAAAGTCAAGTGGTCTTTTAGAGAGAGTTAATTTGGAATAAGTCACTGCTTAGCAAAAGTACAAATAGCTTCCCTCTTTTAGTAAGATGCTGTTTCCCTGTGCTGTTTCCTGTGGAGTGAAATTGGTTTACTTCTAAGAATAGTGCCCATGCAGACTTTGCTCTTACGTGATAAGCCATGTTTATTTCGGTGAGAGGTAAACTTTGAAAGTGTTATCTCTGTATTTGTGGGAACATTTGAGGATTTGGGATGATTCACCAGGGCCGTGGGTTTTTTACACTGATCTCTTTTGGAGCAGACTCTCCCACATTCACAGATGCGTGGGCCTGTTTTAGCTCCTCTTCTGTCTGGAGACACTGGAGAGGAGCCTGGGACTTTTCCTCTGACTTTGTTTTCTTATGCAGAACACGTCACCAGCCTCATAACCCCTCTCCCTCCCCTCCATCTCTGCTGAGTTTTTCAAATGAACAAATCTGATTGAGTGAATGCCATTACCTGGGTAAATGAATGATTCCTAAAGGACTGGACAAGGCCTAACACCACCTGGAGGCTAAAGCTTATTATCGCTGCAAACTCCAAAGAGGAGAGAGAGACGTGTGCGTGAAGCCATGTGCTCTTTGTCAGAGGCCCCCATTTCCATATTAATGCAGCGCGTTTAGGCATCTGAGACACAGGCGCTCATTTGATAACGGAGCAGTTAGCTTTTCCGTCAGGTGTCTAAATATGTATCATTCTGATAAGATTAATTGGAAGGACTAAGTATACAGAGGTGTGCGCTGAGTGGAATAGACAGTAGAAATGTGAGCAGACATTCTGATGCCCAGCCATGGGTTTGAGCTTGGCCTATGACTCAGACCTACTTCAGTGTGGGACCTATAGGCTTTCACCGCTGGGCTCAAAGTGCCTTGAATTGAAAATAGCATCTACCTAACAGTCCCTCAAAAATAGCTGAGCGAATAAGTTTTTGTGGCACGCCGATAAATACGGTGTAGAGCCTCTGACACCGAAGCCTCACCCCAATTTCCAGTGCTCCAGAGGAGATCAGATAGCCCTGTGTCATTTGATTTTCCACCTTATCTCATCTGTGCCCATCTTTGTGTCTCATGCAGCGCTACATTAGAAAAAACACACACGCCTCCATCTTCTGAAGGACAAACCTGGAATCATGTTGAAACAAATAAGAGGATCACATTTTTAGAGAAAACCATTCACATTTCTTGATTGATTCCTTTTGCTGCTCTGAGCATCCTTCGTCCTTCAAGTGACATTTGTCAGAAAAAGTTTGCTATTTTCTGATGTGCACCTTCAGAAACTCATAATTTCACAAACTTTGCAACAAACTCAGGCTGTACTAGTTACATAATATTTTGTAAATTTTTGCACCTGCAGGGGGCAGTAAATAAAGTTATGTGCATCTTCATTTTACAACTACTTTGTGATTTAAGCTGAGATTTAACTTTGACCAATATTAATTAATGATTACAGTTCTGTCTCGCTTAACATCTCCAGAATATACAGAGCGAGTATGTATTGATATTTCATTTAGGTGTTTGTTTTCTTTTTTTTGTACCTGATTCTTTTTCAAATGAGCATGACAAGTGTAAACCCTCTAGTTCTTTACCATTCCTACTACAATGGACCACTCAAAGCATATTTTACCGAAGTGAGCATGAAGCAAGTGTAGTTATCTCTCTAGTCCATGCAAGTCAAGTCAAGAGCCTTTTACTCAGTTAAGTTCATCAGTTAATGTTTTTCATTTATATATATATATTTACATATATACTTTTAAAAATTATATACAAAAATAAAAGGTGTAGTCTGACAACTTTTCTGGACAATTTTCGCAGTACTCGCACTTTTGCTAACCACTGCTCTTGTCTCTAGTGACCTCTCCTCACAAATTTCCTATAACTTAAAATAATAACATAAAATGAGCAGTTTCCATGCATATATTACGCATGCACTTCCCGTTTGGCTCTTCAGTGGCACAGACCTCAGTTCTATCTATAGTATAAAGTACATTGAATGGTGTCAGCAGAGAAGTTTTGAGGCGTGGGATCGTTCATAAGTGGAGCAGCAGAGGAGCAGAGCGCTGGACCAGGGGAGGAAGCCTAAACACCCCCCAGTGCACGCCTCACACACACTCATGTCCAGGAGAGGAGTGGGCCCGTGGTCATCTGAGTGAAGGCTCTCATTAGCAGGTGTTGTCAGGGGCAACAGAGGTGGGGGTGGGCGGTGGTGGGAGGCTACTGGGACCCCACACCCCCCTCCCTCCCCCATCTTCACCCCCGTCTCTTCTCCGGTTGGCCCCTGAGATCCAGACCAGGAAATGATGGATGAGTGATACCGAGATAAACAGGCAAACCTCCAGTCCCAAAAGACAACCCCAGCACCTCACCTCTCTCTTTACAAAATGCAATGTTATAAATAAACAATCTACTGTATATAGGGGTGCGCTCTGTTGACAAATCAAATATATGAAAATCTTTTGGACTCTCCCAACAACAGTAATTCTTTGCAATCTATTGGAAGTATGCTAAAATGTGCCTTTAAATGGCTTTGTTGAACGAAGTATCTTGAGTGGAGTAAAACAGTAAACATAAAAATGCTGAAACATTTCCTTTTACCATTGTTTGAAAGATTACACTGATTATACTCCTCTGTTTGCCTTGTATTGACAGTTTTTCTTATTACAGAAGATTTATGTGATATTCTAAGTTTGCATAACTTCAGAATGACAATTTCAATATTTTCCTGCAGACGCTAAATTAGAAAGCGGTAAAATAATGAAAGGAGAAATGTAAGCATAAGAACTGCAATTAAAACATAATAATAATAATAATAATACTAGAACCTGGAATCTTATAGTACACCATTTTCTGATCCATGTTATAATGTTGTTTCCTCATCACAAACATACCTGGAGTTGTGTTTTGTTTCATTCACACGAGTTCAGCGCACAAACCCTACATATTTAGTCTGAGCTCTGAAAACACTTTGCTTCACCTTGTGATGCCACGTGTTAATTCAGGAAGTGCTCTTCTTCTGTTTTTAAACCCATACACCTTCACTAGAATCATTTGGATAATTTTAGCCCTGGAATTGCCAATCCATACTGACCTAAATGTAAAAGGCAGCTGTTAACTTGAATCACATCACAAGGTGGAACAGAGCATTTTGAGCTTTGGAGATGTAGACAGACTAACAATAAAGGATCATTCAAACATGTTTGAATGAAACAGAACATAACTCCAGGTATGTTTTTGAGAAAGTAACAGCATTATAACATGGTTTAAAGCTCACAAGAGTCATTATTGTTTAATGAAGGCCTTTAAAATTTAACAAACTTATAAATAAATCATAATTTATCCAGTAATGTATTCATAAATAATAAATACAGATAATAAGAAAACAATACATTAAATCTAATAGAGGTATTCTTATTTATTTGTTATATGTTGCGTATTGCAGTTATTATATTTGCAACAAGCGACCATGACTATGAGTATGCACTGAATGTCGCCCACCTTTACGATATCACACACGCAGCCAAACATCAGAGTATGTGGCGAGTTGATGCTGTTACGCAAGACCCCAATGTGCTAAGCCTCTGTGGTTTCACATTTACACATTTCTGGCTGTGTTTTGAGCATGTAATATTCACAGCTAACAAGGCTAACCAGCAGCCTGCATGGTTAAGCCCCCCTCTGTACTTCTATCAGCAGCTCGGGCAGGCAGCACTCAGACACCGCGAGGCATCAAACACAACGCAAACCTGTTTTCCCATTTTTATTTTTGGGAGCGCTCCAAATCGCAGCAGCTGTGGTGTTGTATGCGTGCAAGGGTTGATGGGAAATGAATGTGCGTTGTAGCATATGTATGGGTTCCGAATGACAAGCCAATTTAACATAAACACAAATACACACACACACACGCACGGGGACACACACACACACACACACACACACACACGGAAAACTGCCCTCAACTGCCCACTAATTGTCGAAAGGGCGTTAATGTTTTATGCTCCTACTTTGTGTTAAACCCCAAACGCCTCCTGTTACAAATGGAGAGGGAAAGGAAGATTAGTATCAAATATAGTTAGATTATATGGTTATGAGCCTGCGGGCTGTGGTCTGGTGCTGGGGGTATGAATTATGAATGGGGCGTGAGGGAGGGATCTTCGCACCGCTCTGGGGACTTCAACACCACAACTCATTTAAGTTGGATGAATGAGAAATAAGAAAGGGACACCCCATCCCCTGCTAGCCCTATGTACTGGCCTTCATGTAATGTAATTTAGCAGCTCATGGTCTACCAAACTCTTACTAGTTTCCATTGGGTGAAAAATCTATGCAGAAGAAAAGCTTTGTTCGTCGTCAAACTGTGGCGATGCTAAAAAACACCATAAAGAAGTCTTGTCATCTCAGTCACTGGTGCATTTCCGTGCTGCGCTACTCGTGTCGACCCTCTTTGTACATCTCCAAAATGAGTCCCTGAGCTGTGCTGTAGCTTTGCCTAAAAATTCCTCTCATCTTATCTTTTTCTCTTTTGCTCTCTCTCTCTGTGTCTCTCTATCTCTCTCTACGTCCCAGGCCGCAGAATGGGTCGATGATATTGTACAATAGGAAGAAGGTGAAGTATCGAAAAGATGGCTACTGCTGGAAGAAGCGGAAAGACGGCAAGACCACACGGGAGGATCACATGAAGTTGAAAGTGCAGGGAGTGGAGGTGAGTGAACGAATGAAAGGAGAGAATACAGAGAGAGAGAGGAGATCCAGACACACTCTCTCTCTCTCTCTCCCCTGGCTGCAATGTAGACAGTCACATGCTGTAGTCAAGCTATGTCTCCAAGGAGGCTCACCAAGAAACAATGCAGCACAACAATAGTTTTCCCTGGGAAGCCGGTGGAGTGGAACCGATTGTTTGTACCTTATTAAGGCCCTGGATGTTGCCTTTGCTCCGGAGAGCCTACATTAATCTTGCTGGCTCAAAGCGCGGCTGTGGAGCTAACATGGCCCCAACTCGCTGCTGTGTTGTAGTCACTCCCCATTCCAGGCTACACAGTACAAGGTCCACTCATGTCTGGGGCTGTTCACACTGGTTTCATTCCAGCTCAAGTTGAGATGTGGTGGAGCTATAAGGGACCCCTGCTGAAATGTTGGCAGCTGTGTATGGATACAGATAGATAGACATTGTCAACTTGTCTGAAATGCAGCCTTAGCTTTGTTTTGGCAGTGTTGTCTGAATGTATACAAATTAAGACTCAAGGCATTATCTGAAAATTGTGAAGTAGACGTTTTTTTCCAGTCGAAGATGCAAAAAGAGGAGAATTATTGGCAGCCGGGCATAAGATAGACATTCTCAACTTGTCTAAAATTTGGCTTGGCTTTGTTTTGGCAATGTTGTCTAAATATATAGAAATGAATGCTCAGGCAAATTGTGACACAGACAATATATTTACTCAGCCAAGCCAGATAGTTTTTATAGTCAAAGATGCAAAAAGTGGAGAATTATTGGCAGCCGTGCATGAGATAGACTTTCTCATCTTATCTGGGATGTGTCCTCTACTTTGTTTTGGTCTTGTTGTCTAAGTGTGTAATAGTGATTCCCAGGATATCATCTGATCAAATAGGCAAAATATTTACTTCAGTAAATTAAAGTATTTTTACAGTCAAAGTTGCAAATAGTTTAAAGAAATAGTGGCAGCTGTTGTTTTTACAGTAAGGAAGAGTAAAGGTTTATCTATTTCAATATTTCTTACCACAAAATTCTGCATAGTTATAATATATAATGGGGACAGGTAAAAATAGTATTGTCAACGTGCAGCTTTTGTAGTTAAAAAGTGTGTTCAAATACATATTTGCAGAAATTGTAGCTTCAACATTTGTGGATTTAACTTTTGATTATTTATTTCAAAAGTACCATCTGGTTGTATGATATCATCAAATCTGGAAGTTAAAATTTAGAGCAAATTTGAGAGCATTTGATTACAAGAAAATCTGTTTTTTTTCTGGAGATTTTGAAGATAATTGATACTTTGCAGCTGAGGTCGTCAACATTCCCTAGGGGTGTGATGCTAACTGTAGGCACTGCTCTGTCTGAGGCTTTATTAGACTTTAATCTGTGCTTTATATTCACACAATCTCACCAGAAGGAACTGATTTAGCTGGATCTACAAGAGGTGAGCTGATTTGTAACAAGTCCCTCCATATAAAATTACAGTCACAAGCTAGCTAGCATAAGCCAGCAACTTTTTAGTTACTGATACTCACCATTTTTGTTGAAAATTAAACTCCTAAGCAGGACTATTGATCACAGACTCCTGAAGATGTGTTTAAATCCAATTTGTGATTTTTTATTTCTTGATTGAGACCATTTAAAAACTTTTTTGACAGTATTTGCTACTCCTAAACATTCCACCGTTAGAGATACATGTAGAACACCCGTAGCATGACGTCATTGCAAAATATTAATAGAGTTGTAATTTCCTCCTGGTATAGTACTTGATAAATATAAGTCCAGTATTCATGTATTGTTCTAGTCTAGCCACAAGAGCTGATGTGAGGAGATGGAACGGTACATTTGTGAGATTTTGGCAGTCCTCACCTGTAGACATAAGTGCAGAGCAGAGGGACGCTGTAGTGAGCTGGTGCTTCACACAGTGACAAAGACAAAGCTAAGGCCTCTTCCCATCAGGGGCTCTGCGTTGTTTGTGCTCCTCCACAGATTTGTCACTCCAACAAAATGTTCCTCTTCCTCCTGCCCGGCCGGCCCCTCAGTGTCATCACAGGGCCTGCTCCGCTCTGATAACCTGCTGGGAATACACAGCCACACTATCAGAACAGGCACGTACTTTAAAATAGATTTGAGACATGGGCAGTTAAAAATAAATAAAAATAAAATCATCACTCAAAAATCGAAATCTTTATTTGAATCAGTACATTCACATTGCCAGAAAAAATGAATAATAATCAGCTAACTCTGTAATTAGATCTAATTTTGGTGTGTGTTTACATGCAAAAATTAAAAAAAATCAGCTGTCAGTTCAATCAGTGGCTTTTTAGAGTAACTGCTGTATTTGAAAGAAAAGATACAATGACATTTAACACATATCTTTCAATTTCTTTCAATTTTGTCTTTGCCACATTAGCTTGCCCTTTTTGCATAAAAGTCCCTTGTCAAAACCTGCACAGTGTGAACAATCAGAAAGAAATCAGATTACTCACATCAGATATAACGCTTTCAATAATCTGATTACTCCAGAAATCAGATAATGGTGTATCTATAAAAATAAAGTGCTATTTATGCATTGCCAATATTTAATCTGTAGATGAAGTGTAGACATATTGTTATTTGAGTACATTTATGTTTTTAAAGGTTTTCTGAACAAGTGCCCTTTACGTACAAAACAGATTTAAGTGTTTTTGATTACACTTTTTTTTTTTGCACATTAACCGTCAGATTAATTAAAATTTTGACTTTTAAATACACATTTCTGTTCACATTTTCTTCAAGTTCATTTCCCCACTCAATCAAAAGCAACAATTAAAACACCCTTAGAAGATTGCATTGTGACCTTTAAAACATAATGAGTTACTACACTATCATTTTGTAAATCTAATGTTGTTGTAAATTATTATAGCTGCCATTACACATCATTTGGTGGGTGCCCTCTTCAGCACAGATGTGGAAGTGCTCCCAGCTGACCACAGGACTGAACCGTCCTCACTAGCACCATGGAGAGCTCCGTATGAAAGCTTTTATTCAATGGTCACACAGCCACTCGGGAGGTTATAGTATAGCTTTTCCCGCACTTGTAACTGCCACATTGAACAAGTGGAAACATAACATAAAGGTCTAAAATTATCCAGACATCTGTGAATATAGCTTAAACAAACCCCCTGGGCAGCTCTCCAGTTGCACTTAATGCTCCTGTACTTATAGAGCGGCGGCCGGCACGCTTTAATTCTATGGACATGTGAAGCGTATGACCATTTTTCTACAGGAGGCATTAACTGACTCATTCGACTTGACATCAAATACAAAAAGCATTTTAAAGCTCCATTTAGTGGCTTTGAATTATTCTCAAAAGGACTGTACGCGCACTGACTGATGGCATTTTTCTTCAATAATTCACCACATACATGTAGACCATATTGTCATATGTTATACCTATGTGTCTTATGTGACTTTTCTGAACTGACTTACAGCTAGAGACACCTAATTCTTAGTCTCAAAATGTGAAAAACAGAACTAATTTATTTTAAAGGTCCTGTATTACCCAATATTGATGGATGTTGGACCTCATAAAAACATATCTGGAGTTGTGTATTGTTTTCATTCAGCACTCAAAATGCTCTGTTCGATGTCATGTAGCAGTAGTTTTCAAGTTAACAGCTACATTTTACCTTTAGTTGAGCAGAGTTTGGCAATTCCAGGGCTGAAAGTATCGAAATGATTCTAGTGAAGGTGTATGGAGTTTAAAAAACACAGTGGAAAAACACACTGGAACACATCTTGTATTGCCACATGACATCACAAGGCTGAACAGTGTTTTCAGTTTGAGATAAGGTATGGTAGGAACTTGATATGTTTTTGATGGACATTATCATTAAAAATAGTGTAATATGAGCCCTTTAAACAGTTTCCACTGGACCCAAGCTATTCTTCGCTTTCTTAGCATCTTGGTTATTCAGTTAGTGTGATGAGTTTTGAAACAGTTTTCACAACTTTCAGAGGACAAAGCAGATTTTTTTTCTCACTGTAATTCTAATAACAACTAGCATGCTAACAGAGCCCCAGGATTACTTCCAGGTTTGCAGTCAATAAAAAAATATTTTAGAATTAAATGCAGCCAGCACAAAGCAATTTAATTTTGACCTTAAGAGACATAGTGGGACAGAGACTACTAGGACTTCATCACATGGAAAAAAAAAAAAAGTGTTCAGTCCCTTTAAATTATTATCCCCTTTGGTATTTTCTGTGACCAAACCAGCTTGAATTGTTGTCTTAGAAAATAGCTTTAAAAATAAGCTTTGTTACCCAGTGTAAATAAAAAGTTATGGTCTCAAAAAGCAGCAGGCTGATGTTTTAAGGTATTGTCAAGCCTTTGAGTGTGCAGTTGTGTTTACAGTAGCCCGTAAATGTCCTCCCTGTTTCTGTGAGAGCTGATAAAGAGTTAAGCGGAGTTGGACATAAGTTTGCTGGTTTACAGTGGAGTCATTACATCACTGGAGCTGCTCCGCTGTTGTACAGGGCCTCTGCGATTCCCCAGCCTCTCACTGCTTAATAGAGGTTCTGCGGTTATTACATGGGCCAGGTTTAGCGCGCAGAGAGGACAAATGTTGTGGGTGGTTTGGCCTGGTGATGCTCAGTGCTCCGGTGAGTGGCCGAGAGAGGGGAGCCAGGGACCGGTGGGGCCTCGGAGCAGCCTAGCGTATCCGGAGTAGATGTCAGTTTGCGCGGCTGCTGTCCTAGCCAGCTCAGCAGCCCGTGTAAAACCAATGCTCTGCTCCTTCACTGCCATGTCGTCCCATTCTTCTCTCTTTGTACTCCTCCACTTCCTCCCTCGCTAGTCCTTAAAGTCTTTCACTAGTTCTTTTCACTATCTCTTCACTCCCCTGTGTCCTTTCTTTGCGCCGCTCATCCTGTCTGCCTGTTACCTCCTCTCTCCAAGTGCACAGTGCAGACGGACGGAGTCTTGAGTTTGGTGGTAATGCTCCCTGTTC